CTGTCTCACACCTGTCTGTCTCACACCTGTCTGTCTTACACCTGTCTGTCTGTCTGTCTCACTCCTGTCTGTCTGTCTCACTCCTGTCTGTCTGTGTGTCTCACACCTGTCTGTCTGTCTCACACCTGTCTGTCTGTGTCACTCCTGTCTGTCTGTGTCACTCCTGTCTGTCTGTCTGTCTCACTCCTGTCTGTCTGTCTCACTCCTGTCTGTCTGTCTCACTCTGTCTGTCTGTCTCACTCCTGTCTGTCTGTCTCACTCTGTCTGTCTGTCTCACACCTGTCTGACTGTCTCACTCCTGTCTGTCTGTCTCACACCTGTCTGTCTGACTGTCTCACTCCTGTCTGTCTGTCTGTCTCACTCCTGTCTGTGTGTCTCACACCTGTCTGTCTCACTCCTGTCTGTCTCACTCTGTCTGTCTGTCTCACACCTGTCTGTCTGACTGTCTCACTCCTGTCTGTCTGTCTCACACCTGTCTGTCTGTCTCACTCCTGTCTGTCTGTCTCACTCCTGTCTGTCTGTCTCACTCCTGTCTGTCTGACTGTCTCACTCCTGTCTGTCTGTCTCACTCCTGTCTGACTGTCTCACTCCTGTCTGTATGTCTCACTCCTGTCTGTGTGTCTGTCTCACTCCTGTCTGTCTGTCTCACTCCTGTCTGTCTGTCTCACACCTGTCTGTCTGTCTCACACCCGTCTGTCTGTGTCACTCCTGTCTGTCTGTCTGTCTCACTCCTGTCTGTCTGTCTGTCTGTCTCACTCCTGTCTGTCTGTCTCACACCTGTCTGTCTGTCTGTCTCACACCTGTCTGTCTGTGTCACTCCTGTCTGTCTGTCTCACTCCTGTCTGTCTGTCTCACTCATGTCTGTCTGTCTCACACCTGTCTGTCTGTCTCACTCATGTCTGTCTGTCTCACTCCTGTCTGTCTGTCTCACACTTGTCTGTCTGTCTCACTCCTGTCTGTCTATCTGTCTCACTCTGTCTGTCTGTCTCACACCTATCTGTCTGACTGTCTCACTCCTGTCTGTCTGTCTCACACTTGTCTGTCTGTCTCACACCTGTCTGTCTGTCTCACTCCTGTCTGTCTGTCTCACACCTGTCTGTCTGAATCACTCCTGTCTGTCTGTCTCACTCCTGTCTGTCTGACTGTCTCACTCCTGTCTGTCTGACTGTCTCACTCCTGTCTGTCTGTCTCACACCTGTCTGTCTGTCTCACACCTGTCTGTCTGTCTGTCTCACCCCTGTCTGTCTGTCTCTGTGTGTGTCTCTGTCCGTCTGTCTCTGTGTGTGTCTCTGTCTGTCTGTCTCTGTGTGTCTCTGTCTGTCTGTCTCTGTGTGTCTGTCTCACACCTGTCTGTCTGTCTCTGTGTGTCTCTGTCTGTCTGTCTCTGTGTGTCTCTCTGTCTCACCCCTGTCTGTCTGTCTCTGTGTGTCTGTCTGTCTGTCTCTGTGTGTGTCTCTGTCTGTCTGTCTCTGTGTGTCTCTGTCTGTCTGTCTCTGTGTGTCTCTCTGTCTGTCTGTCTGTCTCTGTGTGTCTCTCTGTCTCACACCTGTCTGTCTCTGTGTGTGTCTCTGTCTGTCTGTCTCTGTGTGTCTCTCTGTCTCACACCTGTCTGTCTGTGTCTCTGTCTGTCTGTATCTGTGTGTCTCTCTGTCTCACACCTGTCTGTCTGTCTGTGTGTGTCTCTGTCTGTCTGTCTCTGTGTGTCTCTCTGTCTCACACCTGTCTGTCTGTCTCTGTGTGTCTCTGTCTGTCTGTGTGTCTCTGTGTGTCTCTCTGTCTGTCTGTGTGTCTCTCTGTCTCACACCTGTCTGTCTGTCTCTCTGTCTCACACCTGTCTGTCTGTCTCTGTGTCTCTGTCTGTCTGTCTCTGTGTCTCTCTGTCTCACACCTGTCTGTCTCTGTGTGTGTCTCTGTGTGTGTCTCTGTCTGTCTCTGTGTGTGTGTCTCTGTCTGTCTCTGTGTGTCTCTCTGTCTCACACCTGTCTGTCTGTCTCTGTGTCTCTGTCTGTCTGTCTCTGTGTCTCTCTGTCTCACACCTGTCTGTCTCTGTGTGTGTCTCTGTCTGTCTCTGTGTGTGTCTCTGTCTGTCTCTGTGTGTCTCTCTGTCTCACACCTGTCTGTCTGTCTCTGTGTGTCTCTCTGTCTCACACCTGTCTGTCTGTCTCTGTGTGTGTCTCTGTCTGTCTCTGTGTCTGTCTCTGTCTCACACCTGTCTGTCTGTCTCTGTGTGTGTCTCTGTCTGTCTGTCTCTGTGTGTCTCTGTCTGTCTCTCTGTCTCACACCTGTCTGTCTGTCTCTGTGTGTCTCTCTGTCTCACACCTGTCTGTCTGTCTCTGTGTGTCTGTCTGTCTCTGTGTGTCTCTCTGTCTCACACCTGTCTGTCTGTCTCTGTGTGTCTCTCTGTCTCACACCTGTCTGTCTGTCTCTGTGTGTCTCTGTCTGTCTGTCTCTGTGTCTCTCTGTCTCACACCTGTCTGTCTGTCTCTGTGTGTGTCTCTGTCTCACACCTGTCTGTCTGTCTCTGTGTGTGTCTCTGTCTGTCTCTGTCTGTCTGTCTCTGTGTGTGTCTCTGTCTCACACCTGTCTGTCTGTCTCTGTGTGTGTCTCTGTCTGTCTCTGTCTGTCTGTCTCTGTGTGTGTCTCTGTCTCACACCCACCCCGCGTCTCTCCCCCGTGACGTCTCCGCCATCTCCGGCACTCGCCCACAGATCCACACCCACACCACAACCACCCTCACCACCACCCTCACCACCACCACCACCCTCACCACCACCACCCTCACCACCACCACCCTCACCACCACCACCCTCACCACCCTCACCACAACCCTCACCACCACCCTCACCACCACTCACCCACACCACCACCCTCACCACCACCCTCACCACCACTCACCCTCACCACCACTCACCCACACCACCCTCACCACCACTCACCCTCACCACCACTCACCAACACCACCCTCACCACCACCCTCACCACCACCCTCACCACCACCACTCACCCACACCACCCTCCCCACCACCCTCACCACCACCCTCACCACCACTCACCCACAGATCCACACCCACATCACCCTCACCACCACCCTCACCACCACCCTCACCACCACCCTCGCCACCACTCACCCTCAACACCACTCACCCACACCACCCTCACCACAACCCTCACCACCACCCTCACCACCACCACTCACCACCACTCACCCACACCACCCTCACCACCACTCACCCACACCACCCTCACCACCACCCTCACCACCCTCACCACCAACACTCACCCACAGGTCCACACCCCACGCCATCACCACTCCCTGCCGCCTCCTCCTTGTCCAACTGGGCCCGCGTGTCTCTGTGTCTCTGTGTGTGTGTTTGTGTGTCTCTGTGTGAGTCTGTGTGTCTGTGTGCGTGTGTGCGTATCTATCTGTTTGTGTGTCTCTGTGTGAGTCTGTCTGCGTCTCTGTCTGTGTGTCTGTGTGTCTGCGTGTCTCTGTCTGTCTGTGTTTGTGTCTGTCTGTGTGTCTCTGTGTCTGTGTGTCTGTCTGTGTGTGTTTGTGTGTCTCTGTGTGTGTGTCTGTCTCTGTGTGTCTCTGTGTGTCTCTGTGTGTGTGTCTCTCTGTTTGTGTGTGTGTCTCTGTGTGTGTTTGTGTGTCTCTGTGTGTCTCTGTCTGTGTGTCTGTGTGTGTGTCTGTGTGTGTCTCTGTGTGTGTCTGTCTCTGTGTGTGTGTCTGTCTCTGTGTGTGTGTCTCTGTGTCTGTGTGTGTGTCTCTGTGTGTTTGTGTGTCTCTGTGTGTCTGTGTCTCTGTGTGTGTGTCTGTGTCTCTGTGTGTGTCTGTGTCTCTGTGTGTCTGTGTCTCTGTGTGTGTGTCTGTGTGTCTCTGTGTCTCTGTGTGTGTGTCTCTGTGTGTGTGCCTCTGTGTGTGTGTCTGTGTGTCTCTCTGTGTGTGTCTCTGTGTGTGTCTGTGTGTGTGTGTCTCTGTGTGTTTGTGTGTCTCTGTGTGTGTGTCTCTGTGTGTGTCTCTGTGTTTCTGTGTGTCTGTGTCTCTGTGTGTGTCTCTGTGTGTGTGTCTGTGTGTCTCTGTGTGTGTGTCTCTGCTGCGCCTCTCGTCACCACCGCCGCCCCCACCCCTCTCAGGTGCTGCCCGCACTCAGATGGCGGCGCGCGGGGCATGCCGGGTAACGGCGTCAGGGGCCGCAGGTAACCGCGTCACGTGACGGCGGCCCCGCCACCTCCCCCCACCCACTCACCCATCGCGTCACATCACCCGGAGGGTTTGTGTGACGTCACGCGCCTAGGGGGGGGAGGGGGGAGTTGAGACATATGACGTCACATCAAAAAGCGCAACTTTTAAATACGTGAATAAAAACAGCACGTTCTACTTAATTTAATATAATTGTTGTAACAACACTAATATGTTTTGATTTAAAGCTTTCGTGACTGCAGGGATTCATATTCTTGGTTCTTTCGGTAAAGTCACTACGTAGAAGGGAAACAATAAAATAATAAAAATATAAAACAATAAAATTCTCAAGACGTTTTTATTTTTACAAATTGTTCTTATTGTGGTTTTCACACCTTGATGATGATTGCTTGTGTTGCAGTCGAAACGTCGTGAGAATTTTATTGTTTTATATTTTTATTATTTTATTGTTTCCCTTCTACGTGGTGACTTTACCGAAAGAACCAAGAATAACACTAATTTGGATTAATTTTCATTATTAACTATTTGATTGTTTAAATTTACTAAGGTCACCCTTTTTATTTATTCCATGCAGGAGAATGGAGAAGCATCAATTTTATACATTTTTTTTAATTAAACGTTTATGATTCTAATTATTCTACCAGGGCTTTTCATTCCGTGGAATGAAAATGCGATTGTTATAATTGCTTCGTTCTGCTACGAAGTTTCAAGTATTTTTTTAATAGTTGTAATAACTTATAATATTTTTATAAATATAAGAGAATTGAAATATAATATTCTGAACATCTGCATTTTTTAGTTAGACGTTGAATATTTTCAAGTGAATTTTATACTAAATTTCAGCTTTCCAACGCCTCCTTTTTAATAAATGTTTTCTCCTACAACATCAGAGTGCAGCGCCACTTTAAATACGCACTACAATGACAATAGTTTAAAGTGATTTGAAGCATGGTTTATGTATTTTTTTTGGGGGGGGGGGGTGGCAGAGCTTTGTGACGTCATATTTAAGGGGGGGGGGTCTGACTTTTTGTGACGCCGTGTGACGTGTCAAAACGCGCCCAAAATCGCGTGACGTCATTGATGGACGGCCGCTAACACAGTACTAACACAGTGCTAACACAGTACTAACAGACACAGTACTAACACAGTACTAACACAGTGCTAACACAGTGGTAACACACACAGTACTAACACAGTACTAACACACACAATACTAACACAGTCATAACATGCCACTGGTTCTTCACGTTCTGTAGATGTAGATGCCACTGGTTTTTCACGTTCTGTAGATGTAGATGCCACTGGTTCTTCACGTTCTGTAGATGTAGATGCCACTGGTTCTTCACGTTCTGTAGATGTAGATGCCACTGGTTCTTCACGTTCTGTAGATGTAGATGCCACTGGTTCTTCACGTTCTGCAGATGTAGATGCCACTGGTTCTTCCTGTTCTGCAACTGTAGATGCCACTGGTTCTTCCTGTTCTGTAGATGCCACTGGTTCTTCACGTTCTGCAGCTGTAGATGCCGCTGGTTCTTCATGTTCTGTAGATGTAGATGCCACTGTTTTTTCACGTTCTGCAGCTGTAGATGCCGCTGGTTCTTCACGTTCTGTAGATGTAGATGCCACTGGTTCTTCACGTTCTGTAGATGTAGAGGTCACTGGTTCTTCACGTTCTGTAGATGTAGATGCCACTGGTTCTTCATGTTATGTAGATGCCACTGGTTCTTCACGTTCTGTCGATTTAGATGCCACTGGTTCTTCACGTTCTGCAGATGTATATGCCACTGGTTCTTCACGTTCTGTAGATGTAGATGCCACTGGTTCTTCACGTTCTGCAGCTGTAGATGCCACTGGTTCTTCACGTTCTGTAGATGCCACTGGTTCTTCACGTTCTGCAGCTGTAGATGCCACTGGTTTTTCATGTTCTGTAGATGTAGATGCCACTGGTTCTTCACGTTCTACAGATGTAGATGCCACTGGTTCTTCACGTTCTGTAGACGTAGATGCCACTGGTTATTCACGTTCTGTAGATGTATATGCCACTGGTTCTTCACGTTCCGTAGATGTAGATGCCACTGGTTCTTCACGTTCTGCAGATGTAGATGCCACTGGTTCTTCACGTTCTGTAGATGTAGATGCCACTGGTTCTTCACGTTCTGTAGATGTAGATGCCACTGGTTCTTCACGTTCTGTAGATGTAGATGCCACCGGTTCTTCAGATTCTGTGGATGTAGATGCCACTGGTTCTTCAAGTTCTGCAGATGTAGATGCCACTGGTTTTTCACGTTCTGCAGATGTAGATGCCACTGGTTCTTCACGTTCTGCAGCTGTAGATGCCACTGGTTCTTCACGTTCTGTAGATGTAGATGCCAATGGTTATTCACGTTCTGTAGATGTAGACGCCACTGGTTCTTCAAGTTCTGCAGATGTAGATGCCACTGGTTCTTCACGTTCTGCAGCTGTAGATGCCGCTGGTTCTTCACGTTCTGTAGATGTAGATGCCACCGGTTCTTCAGATTCTGTAGATGTAGATGCCACTGGTTCTTCAAGTTCTGCAGATGTAGATGCCACTGGTTCTTCACGTTCTGCAGCTGTAGATGCCGCTGGTTCTTCACGTTCTGCAGATGTAGATGCCAATGGTTCTTCACGTTCTGCAGCTGTAGATGCCGCTGGTTCTTCACGTTCTGCAGCTGTAGATGCCACTGATGCTTCACCTGGCATCGACATAACATACGCAGACGTTTTGTTCGTGACCCTCTGAAAGTTCGCAAGTGCGAATATTCGTCAAGTCAGAGGGGTTCCTCCCCGCGGTAATTCCCGTAGCTGCCACCAGATGGCACCAACCCCCACGCAGATCCCCGTGGGGAGCGGTGGTGCAGCGGTTAGCGCGCTGCGCTCAAGAGTTCGGGGCCGTCCATAAATGACGTCACGCGATTTGGGACGATTTTTGACCTCCCCCCCTTCCCCCCACCACCATCGCTTTAAACTATTGTCATTGTAGTAGTGCGCATTTTAAGTGGCGCTGCACTATGATGTTGTAGGAGAAAACATTTATTTAAAAAAAGTCTATTTAATTAAGTAGAACGTGTTGTCTATATTTATTTATAAAGTTGCGCATTTTGGTGTGACGTCACATTTCTCAAACGTCCCCTCCCCCCAAGGTGCGTGACGTCATTTATGGTCGGCCCCTAACACGTTGTAGGCTTTCGCGACCAATGTCATTCGTAGTAGATGCGTGGACACCGCATCTACGCCTGATGAAGCTGGCTTGTAAATTTACCTGCGAAACGTCGTACCTGGCGCGGTGCGTCATTCTGCATCGGCCCTGGGGCGTGGTGCTGATTGGTTGCTGGCCACTCCACACCCGCTCGCGTGCCACAGCACTTGCCCCTACAGCCTGTTAGAGGCTACCCGGGGCATGTTTGTCTGTGTGACGCAGTGCCAGCCTTAATAGGTGGTGCCGCTCGCTACCCACAGCACTTGCTCCAGCAGCCTGTTAGAGGCTACACGGGGGAGCTTTGTCTATGTGGCGCAAGTGCCAGACTTCATAGGTGGTGCTCCTCGCTACTAACAGCACTTGCCCCTAAGGCCTGTTAGAGGCTACCCGGGGCATCTTTGTCTGTGTGACGCAAGTGCCAGCCTTAATAGGTGGTGCTGTTCACTACTAACAGCACTTGCCTCTACAGCCTGTTAGAGGCTACCTGGGGCAGCTTTGTCTGTGTGACGCAGTGCCAGACTTAATAGGTTTTGCCGCTCGCTACTAACAGCACTTGCCCCAGCAGCCTGTTAGAGGCTACACGGGGGAGCTTTGTCTGTGTCTGTGTGTGAGGTGCTCGCTAACAGCACTTGCCCCTGCAGTCTGTTAGAGGCTACACGGGGGAGCTTTGTCTGTGTCTGTGTGTGAGGTGCTCGCTAACAGCACTTGCCCCTGCAGCCTGTTAGAGGCTACACGGGGGAGCTTTGTCTGTGTCTGTGTGTGAGGTGCTCGCTAACAGCACTTGCCCCTGCAGCCTGTTAGAGGCTACACGGGGGGGCTTTGTCTTTGTGGTGTTTCCGGAGGGAGAGAGGGGGGTCCGTGGGGGGGGGGGGGAAGGGGGTCCGTGGGGGGGTTCGCTGAGTCCAGAAGGGGTCCCTAGGGGTCCCTCTAGGGGGTCCCTAGGGGTCCCTAGGGGGTCCCGAGGGGTCCCTAGGGGTCCCTAGGGGGTTCCTAGGGGCACAGGTTCCGTGGTCTACTCAGCTCTCACGACTCTGCCCGCAGAGCCGT